AGGAAAAATTTAAAAATTCCTAGAATTAACACATGATTTTAGCAACTCTATAGGATATAAGCACAATAACCAATTCTTTTTCTGTAAACTAACAATGAACAATCGGGAACTAAAATTTAAAAGCCATACTCATTTACAATAGCTAAAGCAAAATGAAATTCTCGGGCATAAATAAAGCAAGATACCTGCAATATCTATATGTTGATAAGGAAAAACACTAAAGCTAATGAAAAAAATTATAGAGGACTTAAACAAGTGGAGAAACATACTATAATCAAGGATTAAAACTTAATATAACAAGTTATCAGTTTTGCACAACTGACCTAGGAATTTAACACAATTTCCAATTAAAAAAAAAAAAGGATTTTTGCTGTAATTGACAAAATTACTGTGGAAATGTAAAGAAACTAGAATAACCAAACCAATTTTTAAAACAAACTATAGCTGGAGAAATCACACTATTAAATGTTAAGACTTAATATACTTTATATAAACATACAGCATTTGAAGCAGTTGTGGAATTCATAGAGAGAACAGAGTTCCAGAAATAGGCCCAAAGAAACACGACCAATTGATTTTTTGAAAAGGTACAAAAGGCGAGTCAATGGAGAATGGTTAGTGTTTTTAACAAATGACGTTAGAAGAACAGGACATCTACATGCCAGAAAACAAACCTCAACATAATTCTTACACTTTACACAAAAATCAACAGAAAATTGAGCACAGTTCTAAATGCACAATGAAAATGACACCACTAATGTAAGAAAAAATAATAGAAAAATCTTTGTAACCTGGGAATAGGCAAAGATCTATTTTAGATAACATATCAAAAGCATGACTCATAAAAGTAAAACTTGCTCTGGGCAACACAGTTAGGAAAGTCTGAAAAGATAAGCTGTGGACTGGGAGAAAATACTTTCAAATCACGTATCTGACGTAGGACTTAGAAACAGAATAAGCTCTCAAAACTAACAATAAGAAAATTAATCCAATTTAACAAATGAGCAAAATACACTAACACTTAACTAAAAAGATACATGGAGGCAAATAAGCACATGAAAAGATGTTCAACATTGTTAGCCATTAAAAAAATGCAATTAAGCCCGTGGCTCATGTCTGCAGTCCTGGCTACTTGTGGGGGGGTAGGAGTGTTGGGGGGTGGGGGATGGAAGTTCAAGGCTAGTCCAGGAAATGGTCAGAGAGACCCCATCTACAAAATAACTAGATCAAAATGAACAGGAGGTGGAGGTGTGGCTCAATCAGTGGAGCATCTGCTTTCCAAGAAAGAAGCCCTGAGTTCAAAATCCAGTCCCACTAAGAAAAAAAAAAGAAAAAGAGAAATGCAATTAAAACAGTGATAAGATCCATTACAACCCTATTAAAATGGGTATTTGTTTACCTCTACACCAATACTATGCTACCTCAACTTTCAGTTATAAAACACTCTTGCTATGTGATATAATGAACTACCATTTTCTTCTTCAAAATAACTTCTCTCCAACTCAATTCAACCCAAATGGACCTCCAGAATAAAAATCAAACTGCTAGGTAATAGTATAAAAATCAAACTTCCGGGTAATAATTTTTTAATTATTGCTCTTTTTAATGAACTATTTCTCAGCCCCTGGGTTTTGTTTTGTCTTTGTGCATGTGTGTGTGTGTGTGTGGTGTTGGTGTCTGAATTCAGGGCTTCATGCTTGCTAGGCAGGTGCCCTACAACTTGAGCTATTCCACTAGCCCTGGTAATAATTTTTTCAAAGATTATTTCTTGATTCAAACCGGTAGCTTTCTGAATATGATGTATTCCTTATATATACCACCTTATGTTGTCATTTGGACAACAGGACAAGAGTTCTGCCTTCCTAGCAATGAGAAGAGAGACTAAGGTATTCCAAATATAAGGAGCCCAATGAAAACCAAGCTACTACAAAAAACAGAACTTCTCCTCAGGGTAGTGTTTTATTCTTGAGTCAAATTGTATCTCCAGGACCCAATTTGCTTCCACCTGTATAAAAACCATCTTGACCTACTTAGGTGGAAAAAACAAAACTTCCTGACCCTACCCACAAATGGAACTTTCCAGATATTAAAAGAACTTCATTTCAAGCCAGCTTTAGAGAATAAATGAGAATGTATATGAAGAGCAATTAAAAAAACCTCCAAAATTTAAGATATCTTTTCTTATAACTAATAAAAAGCTAGCAATCATTTTACTTAGCCATCACACTTAGATAATGAATTATTACTGATAGGCTTTAAACACATTTTCTGGGGCTGGAGGCATGGCCCAAGAAGTAGAGGGCCTGAGTTGAAACCCCAGTATGGCAAAAAGGAAAAAACAAAACAAAACAAAAACATCTCTAGGTTGTACAAAGAAACACTACTATTACCAAATGAACATTCAAAATTTGTTTTGTAATTATGAAAACTTATCTATTCAGGGAAAGAAATTATAAATAAAAGGTAACAAAAAGCATAATTTTATTAGCATTTCAGAAAAGCAGTGGCACCATTTATTTCCTGTATGTAAAACCACAAAAATGTTTAAAATATTTTATAATATGAATTTACTGTCACCTCTTTTGAAAGATACTTTACCCCACCCCCTTTTTTTTGACTTCTACCTGGAAAGTGAAGCGGAAGTAGTTTTCCAAACTCTTAACTAAAGTTCAAATTTTAAAAAATAGACTTTAGTAAAACAGGAGTATTTTCAATTTTATGTGCCAATTTTCATAAAGCCTATGTAACTGGTCACTATATAGTTGTATTATTTTCTATAGGTAGGCCCAAATTATAGCACACATTTTTAAAAAACAAGTCGTGTTCTGTCCTCACCCACTTTGTCACCCAGACATTTGCAGTCAGACTCCTGGCAGAACATTTTGCTGCTGACAAAAGAGAAACCACCAGCCACCCACAACAGCAAATGCCCCAGCTTGTTACTTTCAGATTTTGGTTAAGAAAAATTTAAAGAAATTCAAGTCACTCTTCCATTTCTTTTTCCCATAAATTCACTATCCTGTAGCTGTAGGACAGTACTGTAGTTAATACTGTAACTACTGATTAATCACAGGCCTGTTTTTAAATGTCAACAATGAAGTCTACTTTAATATTTTTTTTTTTTAACTGTTCGGGCAGGTATCAATGTTAACTAGTAGACAATATTAACTGACATATGGAAACAGCAAAGATAAAAAGGCAGAGTTATGTCTTTCAGAGAAATTTATAATCTTAGATCAAGAAGGAATGTATGTATGCATGTAAACTGCATGTAAAATAAGCATCTTCTACAGACATATGACCATTTGAAAACAGAAAATTTTCACTTTTTTTTGATGGTACTGGGGATTGAACTCAGGGTCTTGTGCTTGCTAGGCAAGAACTTTATCACTTCAGCCACACCTACAGCCTAACTGTTCTTAAAAATGGTGAAATGAACATATTTGGAACTTTATGAAACAGGTTTCTGAAAATGAATAAAATGGAAGGAATAAAACTTGCAAGAAAGGACACTGGAGAATTTTTATACATGTTTCTTCAGAATTGTGGCTAAATTATCAGTTGCATATACATATGTTCAACCAGTTATGACAATTCAAGAAGGAACTAATCTAATCTAAACCAGTTATTTATAACCTATGCTCCAAGAAATCAGTGAAAAAATGGTATGAATGCATAAATACAAAGCATTTTCTGTAGTCTAAAACATCTCTCACTACTTCTCAAATGTAGACAGATACTAATAATAAAATCATTTAAAAGCATATGTTTTCGCCATTATACATAATCCCAATCAATACCAAAAGTACAATTACATGTTTTAAGAGTGCAGTGTTGTTCATATTTAAAACAGGTCAAAGGCCTTTAAGCCAACATACACGGTTCTCTTTAGCTCTAAAATTCTATGATTTTAAGGGACCGAGAACCTACAAGGTAAATTCTTTAGAATTATTACACTATAAATATGTATACATAAGAACACAGAAATAATGCTTGCTATGTGCCAAGACTTGGCTTAGCTTTTGTTTCAAAGGTGAATAAGACGTGATTCCAGATTCCAGTTCAAGTTGTCTGGAGAGACTGATAAATGAACAAATAATACATCCCAACAAATATTGCAGAACTATCTCAAGTGCTTTGGGAGCACAGCTGTGTTATCAATGTCACCTGGGGGGAGCCCGAGAAGATAATTATCTATGAGTTAGGTTTTGATAGAAGGAAAAGTAAATATTCTGGAAAGTTGGTACAGCACCTACCAAGCCATTGAAGTGGGAAAATGCGAGGATGTTTGAGGAAAAGGTCAGTAGTCTTGCATATGGGTGGATAGTAAAGAATTCGGAAAAGCAAGAAGAGACTAAAAAGGTAAAATATGATCAGACTGTAAAAGGTCCTGAATGACATGCTTAAATTCGGACTTGATTCTGTCAGCAATACTGTTGAAAAGATTAAGGAAAAGAGAGATACAAACATGCATTTCAGAATGATAACAGCAAAGGAAGGATGACGGCGGGCAAAAGATTCTGGGGTGGAGGGAGGGCAATTGTATTAATTCTGGTGAAAGGATAAATTAAATGTTATGCAATGTAAGTGGAAATGCAGAACAAAAGATGATTCCTAAGTTTCCAGTACGGATACTGGTGCCATTATCAAAGATGAAAAGCAGGAAGAAAATCAGAAAAAAGATAGTTATACTTCTTGCAGAGCAGTATCAAGAGTGGGGATGGCTATCTGTTGTCAAATGGTGCAAAGAGGTAAACCAAAGAGTGAAAAGGGTTCCTCCATCCACCCCGGACTGAAGAAAACATACGAAAGGAGTGTCCAGCTCCGCAAGATTAGGGTCAAGGCTTTTCATTAACCCCAGATCCGGAAAAAAGGCGCACGCAGGAAGGAAGTGCGGGCGGCGGGCGCTGAGCGTCTGCAGGGAGAAGCATCTGAGGCAAAGCGCCGGGGAGGCCGGGCGAGGGCCGCGCCCGCTCACGTCCGGGTGGTGCTGCACTTACTCCGTTCTCAATCCCTTGCAGCTATCGGATGTGGCGATTAGGACCAGTGCTTCTGCGAACCAGGACCTATCGCCGAAGGCACGGGACCTGGCGTTCTTGTTCGTGTCTTCAGCGAATAGACGCAAAAGCCAGGAGAGACAGCGGTAAGAGCGTTGGAGAGATAGCTGGGGTCAAGCCCATCACTGGCGTCGCGGAAACCTTCGTTGGCCGTCTCAAACTACCGCTATTGGAGCACTAAGCCTCGCGAGATTTTCCTTCTCGCGTTACCGTGTGGGCAGAGCCGGCCGCTTTCTGAGGATTTGCGTGAGATGTAGGGGCGGGACCCTTTGGTGTCCCTCCTCGATATCCAACGCCTAGGCTTGCGCTTGGCCTCTCGCAGAGTCTCGCGTGTTTTTCTAGGGGCAAGCTGCTTGGATGGGGAAGCCGAGAAAATGGAGATCGGAGGGCTGGGGTCAGTTTAGCTGGTGCTTTGGTTGTTAGTTGGCCTTTGGAAAGCTTCTTAGGTCGCCTGGACCATTATTCCCAACGAATAATTGGGAAAATTAGCCGGAGAAAATCTCGAGGGGTGGAGGCATTTTTTCCCCCTTAGCTCCGCCCTCTTCCTGTTTGGCGCCTGGAGCGTTTGTCCTCCAAGAGGAAAGGGAAGCCTGGCGGGACTGTGGAAGAGCGCTTTGCGCATGCGCGCCCGAGTGTGTGCGGGTTGGGGGTGTGTGTGCGTGTGTGCGTGCTTGCGCGCGCGCCCGCGCGCCGGCATTTAGGAAGCTTGGGGAGGGTCGGTGTGCTGGGAGGTAAGCGGGGAACGCACAGTGCACTCTAGTTGGCCCCAAACGCTCCTGACTGTGCGCTGAAGCTCTCCACCCATCCAGGCAGCAGCCTTTTCAACACAGGCTGTGGTCCACATCCTCTGTTCGTTTCCACTGCAGGACCAGGCACGAAAGTAAGCTAACCTCCGTCCTGAGTACTTGCTTGTCCACTCGCCTTGTATTTTTCACTCCCCGTCCTCCAACAACGTGTACCCGGAAGGTTTCTCAAAGAGAGTTTTGCATGAAGGGGAGACGCATTTGAGAGCAAAAGAAAACAGAAGGATCGTAAAAAGACCGTTCGTTTTGATGAATACCTTTGCTCTGCTTACCACGTGTTTTTCCAATGCGGGTTTAATCTTTTCAGTGTAAGATTTTGTTACTGAAGCAAGGGAGTACCACATGTTCTGTTTTTATAAGAAAAAAGTTTTAAAAGTTCCTCCACACCAGTGTGATGGCAGCAACTAAGTTTTCCAGTGTTTTCTAAATTACTGTGGTGTATTAAAAGCTGAGTGGGAGAATGTGAGTTTGGGTCTTTGTCCTAATTGGAAGACCCGGTGTGCAGTTGTCTTAGGAGATGTTTATGTTTTGGGTTGTACTTTTGCTGTCTCTTCTCTTTCCTGTTTAATGTCCTCGCACTTCACCCCTCCCCCCCGAAACGTTTTTCTTTCTTTCCTCCCTTCCTGTCTTCCTCCCTCCCTTTCCCCCTTTCCCTTATATGTAAAGTAATCAAAAACAATTATATGCAAAAATGTTCTGACAGTTTTCATTCTTTCAAAAAGCAAAAAAGAGAAAGGTATGAACTAATTTTGCTTGTGCCTGATAGAGTGACAGCCTAATATGGTGTAGCTCATCCCCCGAACTGACAAAGTTGCTTTCTGATTATGACACCATTAAAGCTCGCCCTTTGTTGGACAAATTGAACATATTGTTCATGTTCCCTACAAACGCTTACTGAGAAAAAGACATTAATTAGGAATAATTTAAGATATTCAATGTTATGTATCAACTGTTGACTAGAATATTTCCCCCCATACAGGCTAAAACAAAATGAAGATTTTTTCTGAATCTCACAAAACAGTATTCGTTGTGGATCACTGCCCTTACATGGCAGAATCATGCAGACAGCATGTCGAATTTGATATGCTAGTAAAGAACAGAACCCAAGGAATCATCCCTTTGGCCCCCATCTCTAAATCGTTATGGACTTGCTCAGTAGAATCTTCCATGGAATATTGTAGGATAATGTATGATATATTTCCCTTCAAAAAGTTGGTGAGTATAAGTTACAAACAAAATTATGATTTTGGGAGGCTGTGCTTAATTCTAAATAATTTTGTGTGAATTTGATATAGATTTGACGTGTAACTGTTCAAAAATACTTAAGAACTGCCTTTTGAGATTAGTTTACTACCGGTATTTAATTGGGTCTAGTAATAGCAACAGCTAGTAACTGTGGAGTATTTACAAATACCATTTTCCAAAGTGCTTTATATTTATTACCTCCTCTAATTCCAACAGTCCTTTGAGGTAGCTACTATAGGTATAAGGGCAGTATTCAAAATATGTATCAATATTCAAAATATGGACAGGTGCTTGCTGTTGAGAACTGTTGGTAACTCCTACGGAAAGAGTGTTGAATATAAGCAGTTTGTTGGGTTGTGTTGATATGTGCCAGCTGAATATTGGACTTGTTTATTACTGCCATATTGTCAATGCAGTGAGGTGAAGAAAAGAAACTTGTTTTGAGTCACATAGTTAAAGGCAGAGTAGAATCTGAAACTAAGCAGGCTGGCTGCTTGCAATATTAATGAATAATTAAACTGCTGTAGGAATTACCATCTTAGAAATTCATTTATGATACTGTGAGGGCTAGGATGTATTTCAGTGGTTAGCAAGCATGAGGCGCCTGGGTTCAATACCTAGCAACCAAATGCTAAGTGTGAGGTTTTTGTTTTTGTTTTTTTTTAAATCAGAAGAGAAATTGCTGATTGATAGAAGTTCCAAGTAGTAAAGTTATCTTTAAACTTAAGTTTCAATATCTCAGATGATTTGGTTTGGGAAAGTCATTTGATTAGCCACAAGTAGATGATATGCTTTCTGTCTTATTTACAGCAGTGTAGGGTGCCGCTTCTTAGACTGGAAAAGTTAGACAATAATAAATAGCAAAGGTGAACATACAGTCCAATATTATATATTCAAATATATTCCAAATTAAAGTGTAAGTCCCTCTTGAAATTTTTGTGATTCTATGTGGGGTAAAAATATATTTAGTGAGAGGAGGGATAACACTGATTTTAAGGCAATGGCTTTGGTTCAAATCCTGGCATTTTTAGCTATTAGTGTGACTTGGATTGTATTTCTTCATCTCTGTGAGCTTCAGTTTGCTCCCAGTAAGCCTAACACCTACTTCTCTGTTGTAAGAGTTAAATGAAATAATCTAAAGCGGCTATTAAAGTATATCTTTGTCAGATAAGGCTTAGGAGAACAGAGGAATTAAGCTTTTCTCCTTGTGGAGGGAAGGAGGACCATGAATTAGACCATATGGTCCAAGAGAAAGAAAGAAATTTCATCTTTTTCCCAAAGAAGAAAATATTCATCTTAATTATTTGATATATTTTCTGATATGTTTATTATCATGTTACCTGGTAGTTTTGGTTTTTTTGTTCTTGGTGGTGCTGGAGATTAAACCCTATATCTTGTGCATGTTAGGTAAGTGCTATACTACTAGTTGTGCTTCTCTCCTTGATAGGTTTTTTTATTTTTTTCCTAATTTGCATTTTACTTAACAGTTGGAATACAGTCCATAACCATTATTTGCATTATGTGACTTTCAGTGCTCTGTAGTTATGGCTACTGCTTATTTCTTTGGGCTTATCTCCTACCTCTCTGTCTGCTTTGATTTTTGCCTGTATGTTTAAAGGCTTTTGTGTTTGCTCTTCACTATACCTGGAATTTTCTATTCCTTGTTTTTCATTGATTGGTTTCCTTTGTTCATTTTGGAGTCTCCTCAGTTACCACTTGGAAGGCCATCTTTGACCGCTCACTCTAGAGTAGCTAACCAACATATTTTTCATAGCATTTATCACTCACTACTCTTATCATGTTCATTTACTTGTTTGTATTCTTTGTACTCTGTTTGCAACTTCCCAACTTCCCCCACATGTGACAGAACTGTTTTACTTATCACTGCATTCCCTGTTCCTGGGCCAGAATAGCACCTGGCTAATACCTGGCATTCTATAACTGTAAAATGAATGAATGAATCAAACAGTGACAGTGTTAGAAATTGCATATTATTTTAAAATATGATGGTGGTTGAGTGAAATTAGAGTTGAATACTAATTGTTTCTTTGACATCTATTAGGTGAATTTCATTGTGAGTGATTCTGGAGCACATGTTTTAAATTCTTGGACTCAAGAAGACCAAAATTTACAGGAGGTATGGTTAGGTTTTCACCTGCGGCTGTTTTTGAAAATTAAATTTGATACTTTTTTTTAATGATTAAATTTTTTATCCATGTAGTATTTGTATATAGATGTAAAATTCCAAGTTGTATTTTAATAGAAATTAAGCAGCTGTATCCATTCCATTCTCCCCCAGCCCCAAATTTCAACTCTATCTTACAGTGTTTATTTCCATATTAAATGCAATTTCTAAACAACATGATTTTACTCCTATTTATTGAGTTCTCGATTTAAACCTTGTTTATTATTGTTAATGAGGATGCATCTCTTATTTTGATATTCTTCCTCACCTAAGCTTTTTCCTTGTTTTCTCAAATTTGTTATATTAGTGCTGGGTGTGGTGGCTCACACCTGCAGTTTGAGGTCAGCCTGGAACAAATGTTAGTGAGACCCCCATCTCAACAAAAAAGTCAGATGTAATAGTGTATGGCTGTAATCCCAGCTATTCAGGAGGCACAGGTAGGAGAATCAAGGTTTGAAGCCAGCCCCAGAGCAAAAGCAGAATACTATTTAAAAAATAAACTAAAGCTAAAAGGGCTGGGGTTATGTTTCAAGTGGTGGAGAGAGGGCCCTAGTACCATCAAAAAAATAAAAAATTGTTGTATCAGAGTTTTTGGTTTGTCCAGAATTCCATATTTGCATTAAAATGTCCATATAAAGATTTATTCACTGCTGTGCTAAGCAGTATATGTTAGTATATGTTTTTATTTCTTTGTGCAAAATTTGATTTATCCATGGAATTTATTGTTTCATTTTTTCCTGTTATTGCTTAGTTTTTTAAATATCTATTGCTTTCACTCATGTCTCTTCAAGATTTCTCAATATTTTTTCATAAATGTGTTAGATAACTTAGCTGGTTGATTAGTCTTTCCTCCAAAGAACTTCCTGGAGGAGATTCTAAACTGGTTGCTTTTAAAGTCCACTGCACTGCTGTCATCCTCCTCTATTTTTCAGATCACATTTTTCTTTTCTTTTTTTCTTTGTGTTTTTTGTTTTGGTAGAATGTGATCTCCACAGTTCCTGTAAAGTTATGTGATCCTTTATTGCTATTTTGAGTATAGAAATTCTACATTGGAAATAACTTTTCCTCAAAATCATGAGGGCATTATTCTACTGCTACACCTTGCATTGTTGCTGTTGAGTAGTCCAGTGTCATGTTTCTTCATAATTTTTGAAAACTTTTAGAACCTTTTCTTTCCTCCTGTATGTTCTGTTAAACTTTCTGGATTATATTCCCTATCTCATTGAGCATCTCTTTGTTATCCTACTTTTTTGAATACCTTAACCCTCATGGAAATTTTATTTAGTTGTATTTTTAATTTCCAAGAACTTGTACCTGTATTCTAATTATGTCATTTTTGTCATATTCTTTTCTTGTTTTATGAGTATAATTTTTTTTTAACCGAAGGGTATTAATTATGGTTTGTTTGAAGTTTTTCTTTGATCCTTCTGTGTTCTCAGAGTTCTTTTCATGTTAAGACTTAAATGCCTGCTGATATTTGGCTATGCAATCTTACTTAAAAGCAAGGCACTAAGTGGCAGATTAGAAAATCTGAGTCTGCATATCTTACCACATTTGTAGTGTGAAATTTGCCATGGTAGGAGTACTAGATATTGACAAGCACTACAAATCAATACTTTTTTAAAAACTTTGATTTTTATTTGTTTTTGTTTTTAACTGTTATATAAAATTTTACATTTTAATGGGATACTAAGTGATGTTTTGATCATGTATACATTGTATAATGTTTGAATCAGGGTTAACATATCTACTCAAATATTTACCATTTGTTTATGGTAAAAAATTCAAAATCCTTTCTTCTAGCTTAATATATATGTATGTGTTATATTATCATTATCTGTAGTTAACTTACCTCTTTTGCAATAGAACACCAGAACTTCTTGCTCCTGTATTACTATAACTTAGTATTCATTAGTCAGGCTTATGAGGAATCATGTGTCTCTGCCCAAGACTGGGTTTTACTATACCAGGCCTGTTACTGGGTTCCAGGTCTAAGGACTCTACTTAGGTCTCTCTTTCTCTCTTTCCCAAGTGTGAAGAACAGCTTCATGATGTGCTGCTTAGAGTTGAAGGAGGGGTGATGTGGGCACGTTTTTCCTTCCTGCCTTCTTTAATGTTCCTTTTCTCATTTTAAATGCTAAAACCAGCTATTGTGATCTTTCACTTGGAGTCCTTGACTCTTTTGAAGGTAGTTTCTTGCATGAATAGCTGTCTAAATTGATATTTCTGTTGGAAGACAATTAGTGGAGGGTCTTGCTTCACCTCTTGGATTGTTTTTGTTATATTTGAGGGAAAATATGTCAACTATTGGTAGACTAGCAATAAATTGGATTGACATTTTATAAATCCTTTGAGGTATATTTCTGCTATAATATTAGATCTCATAGATACCCAAAATACCAGATAAATGTATAATCTTCCATGAAAATTTTGTATATTATTTTTCATTCATTCATCATAATATGTGGATAAGTAGGGCAAAATTAATATGAAATCATAGTCTTTTCAAGTTTGTGAACTTTCTTTGTTTTCTCTCCCCCTTTTTTCTGTTTTTTTAGAAAGGGTCTCGTGATACAGCCCAGTCTGGCCTGGGCTATATTAAATTCAGTCTTCCTTCTTTAGCCTAATGAGTGTTCAGATCATTGTTGTATGCCACCATGCCTAACCAAAAACTTCATTTTGATCAAATCCAAATTACTTATTTTTTTCTTTGATGTCATAATTAAGAATCCTTTGCCAAATTCAAGGTCATAAAATTTAGCCCTGTCTTCTCAGAGTTTTATAGTTTGAACTCTTACATTTAGTTGTGGAATCCACTTTGAGTTACCTTTGTTTATAACTGAATCAAGAGTTCAGTTGTTTTCTTTTGCATCTGTCTATCTAATTGTCTCCTTACCATTTTTTTTTTTAAAGAGTATTGTTTTCCTTACTGAATAGTCTTGGTTCCCTTGTTGAAATTAGTTGACCATAGATGATTTCTACCCCTCAATTGTATTCCATTGCTTTGTATATCTATTTTTGTTCTAGTCCTACATTATCTGAATTACTATTGCTTTGTAGTATGTTATAAAGTAACATAATGTTTATCTTTCCACTTTGCTCTTTTTTGAGATTGTTTTGGCTTTGTAGAAATCTTCAAAGAAGTCAGCTGAGATTCTGATAGGAATTACATTGAATCTGTAGATCAGTTTGGGTAATTAGTATCATCCTAATGATACCAGACTGGATTGTTGTTTCTTGGGTTTGTGTCTGTAGTGAACGGGCCCACAAAAGCATGCGCTCAATCACAGTGTTCTGTTCAACCACACTTGGCGGGGGACCTGTGAAGGAGGATCTGAGCCACAAGTTCAGTTCACACATTTATTGTGGGAATTGTTACGCACATAAGGGTTCACAAAAGGGAGAAGAGGTCCTTGATGTTACTCACCAAAAACAGGTTCTTAGCGAGGAGGAGAGCTTTCCCGTGAAAGTGAGCTCACTGGTAGAAGACTGGCAAGGAGAGGCACACAGGAATGGTCCCTTAATGTTGGGTGTATGCCTCTGAGTGCCAAGGATGCAGAGAAGTATCTTGGCAGTTGAGTCCAGCTGGTCAGCATTTATAGTGTCAACTAGTGTGTGCTCCTTGGGTGTATTTGTCCTGTGGCATAATGGATTGGTTACATCTTTGGTTGTGTGTGGGTGTTCCCAGTTTGGATGGGTGTGTCCTCAAGCTCTTGCTTTCTGTGTGGCATGTCATGATGTTACCATGTCTTGACATGAGTGAATCCATATTGTCCACGTTCATATTAATATCCTGGTGCAGTCAATGATTCAAGGTGCCGGACAAGCAGTTATAAGTTCATGCCACAGACCACGAGTTTAGAGTAAAGCAAGCACAAAGTTTATTGAAAGGATAGCAAAGCACTCTAATGTGTTAAAGATCTAAGCCAAAGGATGACTGAAGTTCATGAGATTATACAGAGGCTAATTTAGGCACCCCTCCCCATTCTGCTTTTGACACTGGCTATAACTGGCTGTTTAATGAACTTCTCTGGTCAAGCCCAACTATCTAGTTGTCCAAATCCTTATCAGGCTGGACATTTCAAGAGGGTCTGGTTAGTCCATCCTGTGTCTGAAACTTGTCATGTATGTTTTATGACTACTAATCATTTCTGTGAGGCCCTGTTTTGTTTATCTTGGGAAAATTTGCTGTGTTACTCCTTTTAGGAGTCTATATCTCATCCCTTTAGATGTCTGCCTTTAGGAATGTTTTATCTTGTTTCCTTTATCTAGGAAGAAAAACTACTGTCCCTCTGCACCCACATGTGAAGGTGGTTTCTCATTCTCCCTTAATATTTTGTTTTTAAGTATGCCTTCCTGTCTCCTTTATCTAAAACAAAGTTACTTCTGCCATCTGTCCCTTTACACCCTCAGGGTTATTTCTGTCATTTGTTCCCAGGGACATTTCTGCCATTTTATTTCCCCTCACATTTGTCCCCTTACACTAACAACATTAAGTCTTTCAATCCATGAAAATGGGAAGGTTTTTCATTTATTTAGATCTTTAATTTCTTTCAACAATGATTCATAGTTTTGAGAATATAACTCTTGCATTTCTTTTATTAAATATTCCTAAGTTTTCTGTTCTCTTAGGGGTTATTGTAAATGGAATTGTTTTCTTAATTTTATTTTTGGATTATTCATTCTAAGTACGTAGAAGTACAGTTGGTTTTGTGTATTGATTTTGTATCCTGCAACCTTGCTAAACTAATTAATTCTAGTAGGTTTTTAGTGGATTCCTTAAAGTTTTCTATATTCAAGATTTAGATTCCTTTCATTTCTTTTTCTTTCTTAATTGATCTGGCTGAAACTTCCAGTATAGTGTTGAATAAAGTGATGAGATTTCCCCTCTGTTCCTAGTTTATTTAGGGTCCTTTTTTTCTTTTTTTTCAATCATGAAAGTGTCTTAGGTTCTGTCAAATGCCTTTTCTGTGTTTATGGAGGTGATCGTGTGTTTTTTTTTTGTTTTTTTATTCTATTTATATGGCTTAAATTAATTGATTTTTGAATATTAAATCAATTGATTTTTGAATGTTAAATCGGCTTTGTATTCCTGAGTTAAATCTCACTTGGTCATGATGTATAATTCTTATTTTGTGTATTGCTGAGTTTGGTTTACTAGTGTTTTGTTATGGATATTTGTATACATTTTGAAAGAAAGATTGGTTTGTGGTTTTCTTGTGATGTTTTTGTCTATAATTTGTCATACCTCTGTGAACATAATTGTTTTTCTTTTTGCTTAGCTAATGGCAGCATTAGCTGCTGTTGGACCTCCTAATCCTCGGGCAGATCCAGAGTGCTGCAGTATTCTGCATGGTCTTGTTGCAGCAGTGGAAACTCTTTGTAAAATTACTGAATACCAACATGAGGCTCGAACTTTACTTATGGAGAATGCAGAACGTGTTGGAAATAGAGGACGGATAATCTGCATTACTAATGCAAAAAGGTGGGGAATAAAGCACAGCAATTCCTACAGGAGGGAATTTTAATTCCTGTTGTGTTGTTTACTTAAAAGGCTCAGGGAAAACTTATTTCCATAACAGTTGTTTAGATTGTCATCATGTAAATTCATTTGACTATTTGTTTTCATACTAGATTTTCCAGTGGTTGTTTGGTCTTGTGAATAAATATAATACCAAGTCTTTACTGAATAGTGGTTTTCATTTTTTTTCTGTTTATTTCCTTAAGTTTGTGATTTTTTTTTTTTTTTTTTTTAATGTCATAGTGATAGTCATGTGCGAATGCTTGAAGACTGTGTTCAGGAAACAATTCATGAACATAACAAGCTAGCTGCAAATTCAGACCAGTGAGTATAATCCATAACTGAAGTAAATGTCTTCAACTTTGTATTATATTATATTTTTCATTATAATTATTTGCAATAATTGGTAATATTCTCGAATTTTTTCCTGGCTCAACAGGTTAGTCAGAAACCATGAGTTTAATCAGAAGCCTTTTTTTCCCATTTTCCTTTGCACTTTGGAATATTGCTTTTTCGCACAGTGATCAGAAGGATAACACATAAATTTATCATGCACATTTGTTTTAATTATTCATTCTAATAGTCTGTGTTACAACTTTATAAAATGTACAAATTGTGGGTGGCATTATTCAGTATGTATCAAATCAAAATAAAATAGTTCACTGTATTGTATGAATTTTTAAAAGTGAAAAAGCTACCGAAAATTGAAAAACATTTTTTTTCTGTGTACTCACACCAGTACTTATGTTGGTCAAATGTGTGGGTTTTTTTTCTTCCCCCATACCAGTCAATTCTCCAGCTCTGTGGATACCAGCTGTGTACCCTGGAATTTAGTTATGAATTAAACTTTCTAGTGTTAGTGTAGACTCTGTAGAGTCAAGAGCTCATTCCCACAAGATCGTTCTGCCCCTTGGGACTCTAATCTCAAGTAGTGAGTCCCTAGGTTACTTAGACATCTGTCTGACTTGGCTAAATATCAGTTGTTCCCATGACCCCCTCCTCATTTTGACAATTTGCTATCATGGTTCACTGAACCGGAGAACACTTAAGTTTGCTAATTTATTATAAAGGATATAGATAACAGCCAGATGAAGAGGGGTACCTAGTGGGGAGGTCCAGAAGGGTCCTAAGTGTAGGAGCTTCTGTTTCTGTGGAGTTGGGTATACTACCTTCTCAGCACATGGACATATTTGTTCACCATTCCCCGAGCTTTCTGAGCCCTGCACCTCAGGGATTTTTATGGAGGCTCCTTAACAGGCACTTATTCTCTGGTCCATCTTTCTCTTTGGATGATAGTAGGGTGGGGCTGAAAGTTCCCAAGTGTCTAATCATATTTTGAGCCTTCTGATGATAGTTTCCCCATCCTGGAGCTATGCAAGATCCCACCAACAGTTGCATCATTAGCCAAAAAATTCCTATCATCCAGGAAATTTCAGGGGATTTAGGAGCTGAGTGCCAAGAGTTAAGATCAAAGATCAAATATTATAATAAAAGATTCTCTTAGCACTCCAATTACTTAGGGATTTATGTTGGTTTTTGGAGCTCTGTGCCAGGAACCCTCTGTGCCAGGAGCAGAGACCAAATACATATTTCCTATTATGTGTCACAGTTAATCAGGGCATGTTTGAGACAGTTGTGATGTGGACTGAAATTTAGATTGAGTGATTAATAATTTTCTTAGTTAGAATATGGTATGGTTATGAGTGGGATTATTCTTACTGGGAGAAGTATGCTCAGGTATCTAAGAATGTGCTTTGCAGTTTATTTGCAAATGATTTAATAAAAAAGAGTTGTGTATCTATTTACGTATATGTAGAGAAGCAAATAGAGCTAACAGTGAATGTATATACTATAAGATGTAGTATATACTGGTGCTTATTTACTATCGTACTTTCCTTCAACTTTTCTGTAGGCCTGGAAATTTCAAAATGAAAAGTTGAGGAAAATTTTTAGCTTTACCAATTCTGTATTTGGAAATAAACAACTATAGGTAATGGTTAGTATAGCCTGATTTTGTCCTTTAAAATTATTAGTAAAAGAAATTACACATATATTCATTTCCTCTGTGATGGTTATTGAAAATTAAACTTAATTGTAAGAATTTTCCATATTGATTCCTCAAACACCCAGAAAGTTATCTTTTTTCCTACATTTTGGGGGCAGGACTGGGATTTGAATTCAGAGCCTTGTGCTTGCAGGTAGGTGCTCTACCACTCTAGCTATAGCACCAGCTCTTTTAGTATTAGTTATTTTTGAGCTAGCATTTTGCTTTATGTGTGGGCTTAGCTTGGACCACTATCCTCCATTTGTGCTTTCCCGCAGAGCTTGGATGATAGGCATAGGCCACTGTACCCAGCCATAGGCTGAGATGGGGGTCTCACAAATTTTTTGCTGTGGCTAGCCTCAAACTGTGATCCTTTCGATCTCTGCCTCCCAAGTAGCTAGGGTGACAGACTTGAGCCACTGCACCTTAGTTTTTAATTTAAATTTATATAATGATTCATACATACACAACAATTATACACCGAATTTCTAACTATTTAACTTATAGTGTTGATAGTAATACCTGATTGTAGCCACATACTGTTTTAATATAGCAAAGTTTTAGTGGTGTATTTGCCTGAGTTCTTTACATAGTATACAATCTTATATTTTAAGTGAAAAGTTTGTTTTTAAGTCTCATGCAGATTCAAAAATGTGAGTTGGTCTTGATCCATACCTACCCAGTTGGTGAAGACAGCCTTGTGTCTGATCGTTCTAAAAAAGAAGTAAGTGCAGAAGTATTGGAAGAAAAATTTCATTGTGCGTTATTATTAATGACTGTTGAGAAAGATTAGCATTAAAATGATCACATTGCCAGAATTTTTAAGGCAAACATGTATGGTAGACTTACAAGCTGAAAACATAAATGCGGTATTAATTGTAGATTTTAAAGTATTTTTTATTTTGCTTCCTTCTTGACATTTATTTTAACAAAATGTATTATAAACCCATACATAGTTTTTGTTCTTCCTAAGTACTTCAATGGATTTTACTTTAATAATTATTTTTAGTGTATAAAAATTTTTTTTTCTTATTAGAAAAGAAATACACTCTAACAAGAAACTAATTTGACATATTAAGGGCCAGGGGGAAAACTTATTTCCAACCTTTGTTTTTTACTTTTTAAGTACATTTGAACAATTTTATTTTTTAAAAACATTTTTGTTAGTGTATATTAGTTGTATTTAGTGGGGGGTGTTCATTACGACATTTCCATACATGTTTGCACTGTACTTTGATTAGATTCAACCCCTTCATTATTCTCCTTCCTTTCCTCTTTCCCCTTCCTTAAAACAATTTGAACGGGTTTGATTGTTCTATTTTTCATGCACGTATATAAAGTACATCAACCATATTCAGCCTTCTCTACCCTCTGTGTTTATTCTCCCCATTCTTGGTAGTACACACCCCCAAACAAGACCTCCTAAGTTCATATTAATTGTTCAAGGAGGTTTTGCCATGGTATTTCACACATGCATATATTGTACTTTAATTAGATTAACTTCTCCCCCCATTGATGTCTTTCTCTGTTCCCCTACTCTCCTGTTATTCATCAGGTTTTGGTACATTTTGTTATGCTATTTTCATACACAAATGCAATGTGTTTTGATATTATTCACTGAGTACCCTTCTCTTTTCTTATTCTACCTCCCTTTAGTCCTCTCAGTTACACTATTACAAACATGATCTACACACACATGTGTGAGTGTGTGTATATATATCATGTTTGTAATCATGTATACATTTATCTTTTAGGTCTAGTTCCCACATGTGAGAGAAAATGTGAATTTGTCCTTTTGAATCTGGTGTATTTTGCTTAATATCACAATCTCCAGTTTCATCCATTTGCCTGCAAACAACATAATTTCATTCTTATAGCTAAGTAATACTCCATTGTGTATATATACCACATTTTCTTAATCCGTTCATCAGTTGTAGAGTACCTGGGCTGTTTCCATACTATTGTGAATAGTCTGTAATTAATGTGGGTGTACAACTTTCTGTATTGTATCCTGACTTACATTCCTTCAAATGTATGCCTAGGAGTGGTATTGCTAGATTGTACAGTGTCTATTTTTAGTTTTTTGAGGAACCTTCATACTACTTTCCATAGTGGTTTCACTAATTTTCATTCTCACCAACATATTATAAGGGTTCCTTTTTCTCCGTATCCTAATCAGAATTTATTGTTTGTGTTCTTGATAGCTGATTAGACAGGAGAGGTGAAAACTCAATATTGTTTTGATTTGCAATTTTTTTTTTTTTTTTACGGCCAGAGATGTTGAGCATTTCTTCATGTATTTATTGGCTATTTGTACTGGTTTTGAGAATTGTTTGTTTAGTTCACTTGCCCATTTATTAATTGATGTTTTGGGAGATTAGTTCTTTGAGCTCCCTGTAAATTCTGGTTTTTAATCCCTTCTCAAATGTACAGCTGGCAAATATTTTGCTACATTCTCTGGGCTGTCTTTTCAGTTTGGTGACTGTTTTGCAGGGGAGAAGCTTTTCAGGTTGGTATAATCTCATTTGTTAATCCCTTCTCTTATTTGCTGAGCTATTGGATTTCTATTCAGGAAGTTATTGCCTATGCCTATAAGTTCCATTGTTTTTCCTGCTCTTTCCTATAGGAGTATCACAGTTTAAGATCTTAAATTAAGAACTCTGATCCACTTTGAATTAATATAAATACAGAGTGAGAGACAGTGATCTAGTTTCAGACTTGTACATGTAGATATCTCATTACCATTTGTTGAAAGGCTGTCTTTCACCAATGTATTTTGGGTTCCTTTTTCAAAAATCAAATGGCTGTAGCTGCGTAGATTTGTTTCTGGGTCTCATATTCTGTTCCATTGATCTTTATGTTTGTTTTTTTGCTAGTATCATACTGGTTTTATTACTATGGCTCTGTAGTATAGTTTGTAATTAGGTATTGTGATACTTCCCATGGTGCTTTTTGCTCAGGATATTTTTGGCTATTCAGGGTCTTTTTTCTTCCATATGAACTTTAGGATGTATTTTTCTATCTCTGTGAAAAATGTCATTGGAGTTTAGTGAGTATTATATTAAACATATAAATTGCTTTTGGTAGTATAGCCATTTTTACAGCATTGATTCTGCTGATCTATGAACATGGGAGGTCTTTTGATCTTCTGATGTCTTCAGTTTCTTTCTTCAGTGAACTACAGTTGTTGTTGTAGAGGTATTTCACTTCCTTTGTTACATTTTTCCCTAGCTATATATTTTAATTTTTTTTGAGACTATTGTGAATGTTACTGTTTTCCTAATTTCTATCTCAATCTGTTTACTTGTTGGTGTGTAGAAAAGGTACTTTTTTGCATATTGATTTTGTATCCTGCTGCTTTGCCAAAAGTATTTATGAGAGTCAAAGTTTTTTTGGTGGAGTTTTTAGGGTCTTTAGTTATAAGATCAAATCATCTGCAAATAAGGATAATTTGACTTCTTCCTTCCCTATTTGAATCCCTTTTATTTTTTTCTCCTGTCTTATTTCTCTGGCAGGAATTTTGGTACTATACTGAATAAGAGTAGAGAGTGGATACCTGACTTTAGAGGAAATGGTTTCAGTTTTTTTCCATTTAGTATGATGTTGGCTATAAGTTTGTCATACATATTCTTTATAATGTGGAGGAATGTTCCTTCTATTTCTACTTTCTTCAGAGCTTTCATCATGGAAAGTTTTTCTGTGTCCATTTGAGATGATGTGGTTTTTGTTCTTGATTTTGTTTATGTGTTATGTTACATTTTTTGATTTTTGTATGTTAAACCATCCTTGCTTGTCTGAAATGAAACCTAGTTCATTTTTTTTTTTCATTTGCAAGGGTTTAATGAGACAAATCACTCAAGACCTGAGTCCTCTGTCTAATAGGAGTTGTAAGCCTGTATTATTATTATTATTATTACTATTATTACTTTTATCAGGGAAATGTGGTCACTAGGTTATTGATAATAAGTTAATAAGTTCTCATTGAAATTTTCTCATTTTTTTCTGATTTCTTAAGAATCGACATTCTGGCAGGGGGGAGGTGGAAGTGGCACAAACAATGTATACACATGTAAATAAATGTAAAAATTATAAAATAAAAGGAGAAAAGGAAAAAAAAAAGAATTGACATTCGACATTCTGTCACCTGCCACCAAAACAGCCCTAGGAAATGCCTTCTGGAAATATACTTTTCACTTTACATTATGGAGCTGGCAGGTAATTAAAGTCTCACTTGCTACTCTAGATGGGACACTTGAAATCCTGAGGGTTAGCTACTTGCCTAGTGAGATGCAGTTAGGAAGCATGAAACCTACTTCATGTATGATCTTTTTAATGTGTTGTTGGGTTTGGTTTGCAAGTGTTTTTTTAAAATTTCTGGGTGAAATGTTTTTAATTACTCTGTTCCACATTTTGCCATTGTCCCAGCCACAGTAACAGAATTCTGTAACAGAGACTGGGAAAAAAAGTACATCATGGTGAATTTGTGAGTCAAGTTAGCTTGCAGGTCCAAGAATAACTCAATTTCCTATAGGTTTGAAAGAAACATCAATGAAGTAGATAGTTTGGGAATATCAGAGCACATAATAATATTCTGAAGGAAATGCCTAATACCTTCATATGTACTTTCACTTTTACTTAAACATTTAGATATGATTAATAGGGAATTAGACAAAATTGAAGACCTAATAGAAAGGCGAGGTATGTTACAGGTGAGGGAAGAAGAAAGACAACATTAGGAGCACCTAAGAAGAAAACTTGATCTATGTAGGCAAATTCAATAAAATTTGAATATCAAGGTTCAAATTGTGTTTCAGTGGTTTTATTTGTAAGTATTTTTTAGCATTCTCACTATACTACCTCAAGTTATTTCAGGTCTAAAAACTTAACCCCTGTTAATCTTTTATCCCAATAGTTAGGCTGATACAAAAAAGTTATGTAGTCCTTACATTATGGTCACACTTTGTCTGCTCTTTAAAGTTTTATAATTTAGAATTAGTGAAAATAAAAATGCTTATATTCTCACTCCTTTAAATTTAGACAAGGCTATTACTTGCTTAGTTTACCTGTCAAAGTACACTTAAGAGCAACAGATTACATATGATATACCCTCTTGAGTCCAGAAGAGAAAACCCTCTTGCTAGTGTACTTTTAGATCCATCTTTGTAGCCAGGTTTATACTTTAATTTGGTTTATGATAGCAAAATAATTTCTTTCCATTTGCCATTATATTGATTTCCAAATATTTTACTGAGAATTTTTGCATCTATACTCATTGGGGAAATTGGCAAGTATACTTTTTTCCCTGGTGATTCTTTACCAGTTTGGTATTAGGGTAATACTAGCTTTATAGAATGAGTTTGGTGATATTTCTTCCATTTGTAATTTTTGGAATAGTTTGAAGAGCACTGGTGTTTGTTCTTTTTTAAGGTTCTCGTAGAATTCAGCAGTGAATCCGTCTTGGCTGGCCTGTGGTTTGTGTGTGTGTGTGTGTGTGTGTGTGTGTGTGTGTGTATTTGTGTTGTTACAGCTGTTTCAATCCTGTTAGTCATTACAGATCTGTTTAAGTTGTTTATGTCCTCTTGGTTCTTTTTTTGGGGAAGTGCTAGAGTTTGAACTCAAGACCTTGTGCTTCCTAGGCAAGTGCTCTACAATTTGAGCAATGCCTTCAGCCCCTTTTTGCTCTGGTTAGTCTGGAGATAGAGTCTTACTTTCTGCCAAGCTGGCCTGGACTGTGGTCTTCCTATTTTACTGTCCTTGTTGTTGCTGAGTGACAGGTGTATGCCCCCATGCCTAGTTTTTTTTTCCATTGAGTTGGGGTCTTACAAAATTTTTTGCCTGGGCTGGCCAGCTAAAATCCTCCTGATTTTGGGACCTGTGTGATTTGGATGACAGGTGTGCACCATTGTACAAAGCTTTTGTTTGAGATGGGAGGGGTCTCACAAACTTTTTGTCTGGGTTGGCTTTGAATCACCATTCTCCCTATCTTGCCCTCCCAAGAAGCTAGGATTATAGGTATGAACTACTAGCCCAACCCTACACCCCCGTCATCTTGGTTCAATTTGGTTGGGTCAAATGTGTTAAGTAATTTATCACTTTATTGATTTTCCAGTTTGCTGGAGTATAAATTTTGAAAATACTCATATATGATCTGAATTTCATTGGTGTCATATTCTCCCCCCCTTTTTATAATTCCCTTTATTTATAATAAATAAAGGCTTTTCTTTCTTCATTTGGTAAGTTTGGCTAACTAAAGGTTTGTCAGTACTGTTTATCTTTTCAAAGACCCAACTTTTTATTTCATTAATTTGTTGTGTTGTTCTTGTGGTCTCCATTTCATCAATTTCTTCCCTGATTTTTCTTTTTCTTTATGGGGGAATCTGCACTCTTCCCTGATTTTTATAATTCATTCCATCTATGGTTGGTATTGGCTTGTTGTTGTTCTAAGAATTTGAGGTTGTTTATTTGAGAGCTGTAATTTTCTTATGTGGATGCTCATAGGTATGAACTTTTTTCTTGACATTGCCTTTGCTTTGTCCCACAATTTCTGCTAAATTGTGTTTTCATTTGAATTTAGGAATTTCTTCTCTAATTTTTTCAGTGACCCATTGATGAATCAAAAGTGTGTTTAATTTCCATGAGTTTGAATGGGTCTCATACTTTTCTTTGCCATTGCTTTGTAGTCTTTTCCATTATGGTCTATTGGAGTACAAGTATTGTGTTTTTTGAGATTATGGCCTAAGATATGATATATCTTAGAGAAAGTTCTCTGGGTTGCTGAAAAAAATGTGCAATCTGCCACTGTTGGATAGAATATTCTGGATGTATTTTTAAGTCCATTTCATACATGGTATTATTTAGTTCTAAGATATATTTGTTAATTTTTTTGTCTGGATGTTCTGCTGAGAGTCAGGTGTTGAAGTCTCTCACTGTTGTACTTAGATCTTATCTGTCCTCAGAAGTGTTTTTTTTAATGACCTTGGGCATACCAGTTTTTGTGCATAGATATTTAGAATAAGGATGTGTTCTTTTATTACTTTGTAGTGACTTTATCTCTTCTGATTTTTGCTTAAAACATGCTTTGTCTATTATGAAAATAGCTACTCCTGCTTGCTTTTGAGTTCTACTCGCTTGATATATCTTTTTTCATCCTTTCACTTTGAGTTTGTGTCTTTAGTTGTGAGGAGCTTCTTGTAGACAGCAGATTGTTCGATCTATGTTGAGTCTAGTGTTGTTTATTTTTACCATTGTTCATGTTCGAGTTTTGCTTACTCACTGAATTGAACCTGCTTGGTACTTTGCTGGCCTTCATGGGTTCATCAGTTTCCCTTTTGAATTTTATTCTTTCTTGGCACTTGTGTTTGTGACCAGTGTTTTTTCTTCCTATTCCATGTGTAGTATTCCCTTAAGTATCTTCTGTAATGAAGGCTTGGTGGACCTAAACCTCTTTAACTTATCCTTATCCTGGAATGTCCTTTTTTTCTATTGAGATTGAAGGATAGTTTTGCTGGATATAGTATCCTAGATTGGCAGTTATTTTCTTTTTGTGTTTGAAACATATTGTTCCATGTATCCATAGCTTTTATGGTTTGTACTGGAAGGTCTGAGGAGTTCTTACACACTTTTGTATGTAAGTTGGCACTTTTTTCTTGCAGCTTTCAGCATCGTTTCTTTTTTGTCTAATCTTGTCACTTTAATTATGATATGACTTGGGAGTTTTTCTTTTCTGGTCATGTCTATTTGGAGTTTAAAATGCCTCCTTTATAAGGCTGTCTATGTCATTACCTAGATTTGGGAATTTTTCTGCTATGATTTGATCAAATAGGTTTCCTCTGCCTTTAATTTCTGCTCCTTCAACCCCATGATTTCTTGGGTTTGGTCTTTTGATCTTGTTCTAGAGTTCCTGTATATGTAATTGTAGGTATTCATTTTATCCTTTGTGATTGTCAGAATCCAATATTTCTTCAGTCTTGTCTTCCATTTCTTGATATTCTTTCTTCTGATTGTTCTTGTCTACTGATAATACTATCAAAGTGGCTTTTATTTGATTTATTAAGACTTTCATTTCTAACATTTCTACTTTTTTTTTTCCTTTCATAATTTCCATTTCTTTGCTGAGTTTCTCATCCATGTTGATGATTTTCTTGTCTAGGTCTTGAATTGATTTCCTAACCTTATTTATCTGTTATTTGAATCCTCTTGGAGATCATTGATCATTTTTTAAGGGTAGGCTTCTGAATTCTCTTGCTTCTTTATATTTAAATTTCTACCCTGATTTACTCATCTGTGGGGTAAGTTTCTTTTTTCCTAGCATGTGTCAGAGAACCTACTGCAGAAACAAGGTCAACAATTCAAGAATAAATCAAATATTTTAATAACTAAGAAACAATTAGAACTTTTATCTGCCTCCCTAATATGGTTAATGGAAACAAAACTCTGGTTCCTAAGGGATGATCTGGTTCTTTTACACTGTTTGAACATATAAAAATTGGAAGTTGAGAAGTATAAGGGATGGGGTGAGGAAAGGAAGGAAGTAGGAAGAGTTTCAACAGAGAAATAGAGAGTGGTTGTAGAAATAAGCAGAAATAAGGGAAAAAAAGTCCAACAAAGAGAAAACAAGCTAGAAAAAAAACAATGAAAAGAAAACAAATTTAAGAAAAATATTTATATTTCTAGCTGAAAGTTTATATTTCTTGCTGGATACTGGTTAAGCTCTGTCCATGCGTGCAGTGTTCTTCAATCTTTGGTCCTCAGTGATCCATCCATGTGTTCCAGTTATGGTTATTGCTGAATTCCTCTGGATAGTGACTTGCCCTCTCTAGTTGCAGCTTGCCACAGTTATTATGGGAACAGCTTTAGAGGAGTGGGATTGCACCTCTGGAAGTTTTTGGTCTTCCAGGCTGGTTTTCCCAGGATAGAGATTTTTACAACACATGGAAGCTCCCAGCTTCCATGGCAGGTAGGTTGTTTTGAGATGACACAGCCTCCATAAATGGAGGGACTGGAACTTTCTGGTTTGTTGCTGAGATTTGAGTGGGTGGGGCTACTCTCTGCTGGTGGGTTTGCTCTGGGGGTGGGGGCGGTGGTAGCATGGACTGCTTGGGTAACACACTCCAGACTAATTCTCTTAAAGTGCTTTGCTGGTGGAGTTGTTTTGGGATCATAACAGGCTCTGTATACTGGGGTTGGGGATGGGTGGAACTTCGAATTCTCTTAGTACTTTGCTGGCAGAGTTGTTTGGGATTACATATCTTCTGTAGATAGGGAGTGGAACTTCTTGTATTGCTGAGAGATCTGAGCAGGCAGGGTTGCCCTCCATCAACGGGATTGCACCCAGCCGGTAGCAGCTCAGAACACATGGATGACATGCTCTGCCTAAGGTTTTTGCTGCCTTCTGCTTTCAGGCTCACTGCTTGGACCATTCAGTGTATGGAGCACACAGCTCTCACCCCACACTCAAGTTACTCATTGTGAAGAATCTAAATCCCTACCAGCTTCTTGTGTCCACACTAAGTCTTATCAAGCCTCCATGCAGATTTAAGGCTCCAGACTTACCTCTGGAGCCCTTTTCCTTACATTATGCTTGTCTTAGTTCCCCTTTCCCACCCATGGGTGGTTTTCCTTTTCTGGTCTCCTGCCACCTATTTCATGGGTCTCTCCCTTTTTCTCTTTGGCATATAGTCTCCTTATTTATCCGACTTTTCTCATTCATGGAGGCAAATGGTAGATGCCTCAAATCTACCATTTTACTTCCCTTCCTCAAATTTGAATAATTTTAAGTGAAAAGATTCTGTTTTTTGTTAAATGGATTTACATCACATTGTTCTCTATTTTTAGTCTATGTTTAGAAATACATACCTATGTATGTTAATATAATGTATATGTTCTTATGTTCTAAATTATTTTGTATTTTTTAATATAAACTTGTATTACTTTGGTCTATGAATTTTTATAATTAAGTGGTACTTTTAAAACATTATCTCTTATGTTTTTAGGTGGTTTCTAGTGTTTCACCTGTTTACTAACAATTTTTCTATCAGTAATATGGCAATATATTGGTTTTACTTTGTGATAACTAAAAATTTTATTAATAATAAATATTATTGCCCTGGAGAAAGTAAGCTTTTGTGTTATCTTTTGTACTAAAAGTTATTGTAAGTATTTTTTGTACAAAAGTTTTTGTAAGTAACTTTTGGCTGCCTCATCTCATGTATTGGTGATAAGTGAGACACTTGTGGTGATTACCACAGTGTTTTTTTATGTTTTATCTGCAGGGTTTTGTCTTATACAAAACAAATTGGTTTTTTCTACAGTATTTCTCTAAAATACTTCAAGTCCATTTTGCCTATAGATAATTAAGAGTAAAAGATGCAAATGAAAAATACATTTCAATGAAAGATTAAGTTTCAAGAGGATAATATTGCATCTGTTCGCTATTGTATTGCCCAGTGGCTCAGTTTCTGGCATATAGTAAACTGATTAATATGTATGTGTTGAATGAATATATGAAAATTTATTGCTATAATTATTATGGTTAACTTCTGGACTTTCCTCCCCTCAAGTTCTAAAAGGCAATACCACTTAATTTTTGTGGATTTAGAGTTAAAGATTTAGCACTAGGTTACAATGAACTAATGTTGTATGGGTTATTTTTCTTGCATACCTTTCTGTAGTTGTCTCCTGTTTTAACCAGCGAAGTTCATAGTGTTCGTGCAGGACGGCATCTTGCTACCAAATTGAATATTTTAGTACAGCAACATTTCGACTTGGCTTCAACTACTATTACCAATATTCCAATGAAGGTAGGCAGTTCTGTTTTCTGCTATTTGAAACCTGTACTTTGCTTTTTAAACATTTGTTTGACCTGTAATATTCATTTTAATTTGAACTTTACATTTTTCCCCATATCATATTTTCTGTTTTGCTAGCCTACATTCAGTGTCTTTGACCAGGTCAGTAAATACTGAAAACTAACAAGAAAGAATCACAGAACAAAATGCTGTATTTTTATTTCTAATAAGATTGTGTCATATGAGATTTTTAAAAAATTATGTTATTATTTTCATCATTATTTTTCTGTGATTCTTTTCCTGACAACTGTGCTGTTAGATTTTACTTACTTTGTATGTTCTAGTAGATCTTTTATGTCCTATATTTTTGTCTTGATCACCCAGCGTAAAGATGTTTAAAACTAATAGATCTAACTAGGGAAAAATAACTTCCAGTTAGATTATTATTTTTAAAATAAAAATAAAATCATAAATACAGGTCTTATGATTTTATAGTGGATTTTCTTAGTAACCAATTGCTATTCATTTGCATTATATTATCACTAAGTTGTCTAAGACTAGCACCAATGTCTGGCCCATTATAAGCTTTAGATTAATTGTTACTGAGTGAAATTTAATTTTATTGATTATATCTAAAATATAAAGTAACTACTATACCTACAAAATCACATTGGTTTTCTTACAGTGCAGTTTCAATTTTGGAGGAGAGAATAGGGTCTCCCTATATAGTCCAGGCTGGTTTCAAACTCATGATCTTCCTGCCTCAGCCTCCTCAATACTGGGATTACAGCTGTGTACTACCATGCTCAGGCTCAGTTACCAACACTCAGTGTTAGGAATACTAAATTCTTTCATTATTAATTTCCTCCTAATTCCATTAGCTAGCTCTTTACTAGAAATTTTAGGCTGACACTTTAGAACTTTTTGATGTAGAAACACTTGGAAAGTAAAATAACATAATAAGGGTACTTTTAATATATAAATTTTATAAGAAATGCACTATGAGCATAACAGATAACTTACTTATTGAATTTGACATTTGTGTGCTTCTGGTGTGACTCTTTAATCTTTGTCCATTTTGGTAAATAGATAATGTTGAAATTCCTGTTTACTTTGTAAACAAGTTGTTAAACTTGTTTATTAGTTTTTACTTGCTATTTTAATTGGTGTTCACTAATTCACTGCAGGTATTTAAAGATGCTATTTCTTCTTTTTAACCACTATTTCACTTTCAGCTTATATAAATTACTTCAATATATTTTATTTATGTATGAAAACTATTGATGAGTCAATACATTTGGAATTAAAAATTCCCCAAATTTCTGTATTAGGCATCTATATTAATTCTGTCATAATGTAAGAAAATTATTATTTTATTGCCTATATATAGCCAGTAGATTTTAAAAAGACTTAATAGTGCTGTGTAAAACTATTGCATCTTTAAATAGAGCAACATCTGAGCAGCCTATCCCATTATTGTAGCTGAAACGCAAATGCAAAATGAGTAATTAATTTCATTATTTTGAAAGCATAGTGAAGTTATTTTAAATGTTTTAAATTTTGCTTGAAGGAAGAACAGCATGCTAACACATCTGCCAATTATGATGTGGAACTACTTCATCACAAAGATGCACATGTAGATTTCTTGAAAAGCGGTAAGAGTCATTTGAAAGTACTGTTTGGTAAGATCTAACAAACGAAAACATATTTACAGCTCTGAGAAGCTCTTCAGTAAACAAATCTGAATAACTTGAGTTCATCTCTCTCTAGACCTATTTGACCATATCCCCTATTAGTGACCATGGAACTGATTTCTGTAGAATTTACTTTTGGAGAAACTACACTAGTGGTACAAAAATTAAGTTTTTCCAAACTCATATTGTTATTGTAGTTCCTCTCCTGTAGGCAAACTTCCTTGGCAAAGGGAAACAACAATAGGAGACTTGAAAGAATTTGTATTGGATAAAAATCTTGAAATTATGTTTTCTTTTTCTTCCCATAAGGTTTTCAGTTAGTAGGTATTATCTTCCAAACCATGATTTCTGTAATCACATTGTCGTGGTTTAGGGGAGAAGACTGGAGGAGATAAGAGCTTTAGCTAAAGCTTTGCCACCAGTTGCCAAGGACTATGTGTTTTTAGGCATGCTTTGTAAATTACAGCTGTTGGATTAGATGAATTGTAATACTTCATCCAATTTAAAATTCAAGGGAATTTTAAGATTTGAACGTCATTTTAAAAGCCTTTAAACCTTCACATTTGGCTAAATTCTTTAGAATGCTCTCTATGCAGATTGATGCTGTTGGAGAATTAGATGGTTGATTATTTTTTGATGGCATTGGGGTTTGAACTCTGGGCTTCACACTTGTTAGACAGGCACTTTTACCACTTGAGCCACTCTGCCAGCCCCACTTTTGTGGTGGGTTATTTTCAAGGTAGGGTCTCATGATCTATTTGCCGGGGGGCTGGCTTCGATCTGAGATCTTCCTGATGTCTGCCTCCTGTGTAGGTAGGATTGTAGGCATGAGCCACCAGCTCCAGGCTTCAATGGTTGATTTTCGTCATGTTGTATGTATCTATTCTCAAGTGTAATCTTGAGCCAATCATAACATTTGTTACATATCTGTAGAATCTTGGAATTTATCTACTGAATTGCTAACAGGACAAAACTCTTATGATAACTGTATCTGTTAATGTTTAACAAAGGCATGTAGAGACTAGTTTTTGAAAATATAACTCATGGAAATTGCTAAGAACCTGTGGGATTATATCAGTTTTTTAAAATATTAACTTTTAAACTTATAAGAAATTTTAAAATATCTTTGGTAATAAAAAATAATGTCCCTAAAATAATTGTTAGCCTGACCTGTAGTTATGTATATTACACATGTAAAATGTTGTTGTAGCAATAGAAACACAGTACTGTGGGAACACAAGAGGCTACGTTTGATTATGTCTCTTAAGAGGCAAGCTTTGCTGAACAGGTAACAATAGAACTGGATCTTGGTGAGTAGTAGGCTCATATGTTAGCCAAGTTATCTCTTCTAAGCTCCAGATCTATATATTGTACCACCTAATTGTATTTTGTATTTCCAAGCATCTGATACTCCACATGCTCAGAACAACTTAAGAGCTCTGCCTCCTGAACTAGTCTTTTCATTTCCCTTGTTCAGTGAATGGCCTTGTTCAGTCTACGCAGTTAATGTATGGCAGAAACCTCAGAATCATCTTTGAGACATCTGTCTGTCTTTCTTTATAATTAATTTATCATTGTCACATTTTCTTGATTTCACCTACTTAGGACCTCTCAAATACACTCATATCTACATCTCTGCTACCCATTACCATTTTCCTAATGAAGCCTATAATTTTCTTACCTACCATCCCATAGTAGCCTCTTAATGAGTCTTTAAAAATGCTAATCTTGACCATCTTTCCATTAGCTTAAAACCCTCCAATGCTTTTCTGCTGTCTCTAGGACACAGACAAGACTGCTTAAATGTCTTAGGCCCTGAATTGTGTGACCCTTCCTCCTTGCCTCATCTTACAGCATACTCGTGTCTGTGTTACATCCATGCAAACCTGGTAACCTTCATGCTTCCTGTTGCCACAGGACTTTGGCGTCAGCTGTTCCCTTTGCCAGAATACATTTTCTTCCATTTCTTTAGTTAATTTCTATGCATTTTCTTAGAACTCACATCAATCTTCACTTCTGAAAGAAGCTTCCCTTAGTGTCTTAGAGTAGATGAAATCTCTCTGTTAGAGTTGCTTATATTGCTATATACATCTTCTTCAAAGCTTAGTCAATTTTGTAGTTTTACATTTGTTAGTTATTTGATTAACTGACCTTTACTGTGGGCTCCACTAAGATAGAAAACAGTCACTATTTTATCTCTTTACACATTTACTTCCAAGACTATTTAGCTTATGTTTCTTGTAAATAAATTCATTAGGATTCAGACTAATTAGTTGTGCATTTTATATTCCCTAAGTGTTCACTGAATATTAAACCATGTTATTTCATCATTTAATGGTGTGGGCAGAGAGGAACCATTGTAGTGCTTAAATTTTTTTTTTTACCTATTTTTTAAATTCATATTTGCATACAATGTTTGGGTCATTTCTCCCCCCTTCCCCCACCCGCACTCTTACCCCTCTTTCCCCCCCCCAACCCCTCCCTACCCGGCAGAAACTATTTTGCCCTTATCTCTAATTTTGTTGAAGAGAGACTATAAGCAATAATGGGAAGGACCAAGGGTTTTTGCTAGTTGAGATAAGGATAGCTGTACAGGGAGTTGACTCGCATTGATTTCCTGTGCATGTGTGTTACCTTCTAGGTTAATTCTTCTTGATCTAACCTTTTCTCTAGTTCCTGGTCCCCTTCTCCTATTGGCCTCAGTTGCTTTAAAATACCTGCTTTAGTTTCTCTGCATTGAGGGCAACAAATGCTATCTAGTTTTTTAGACGTTTTACTCATCCTCATACCTCCCTTGTGTGCTCTCGCTTTTATCATGTGATCAAAGTCCAATCCCCTTGTTCTAATGTCCACATATGAGGGAGAACATATGATTTTTGGTCTTTTGGGCCAGGCTAACCTCACTCAGAATGATGTTCTCCAATTCCATCCATTTACCAGCGAATGATAACATTTCGTTCTTCTTCATGGCTGCATAAAATTCCATTGTGTATAATACCACATTTTCTTAATCCATTCGTCAGTAGTGGGGCATCTGGCTGTTTCCATAACTTGGCTATTGTGAATAGTGCTGCAATAAACATGGGTGTGCAGGTGCCTCTGGAGTAACCTGTGTCACAGTCTTTTGGGTATATCCCCAAGAGTGGTATTGCTGGATCATCTGGTAGATCAATGTTTAGCTTTTTAAGTAGCCTCCAAATTTTTTTCCAGAGTGGTTGTACTAGTTTACATTCCCACCAGCAGTGTAAGAGGGTTCCTTTTTCCCCGCATCCTTGCCAATACCTGTTGTTAGTGGTGTTGCTAATGATGGCTATTCTAACAGGGGTGAGGTGGAATCTTAGTGTGGTTTTAATTTGCATTTCCTTTATTGCTAGAGATGGTGAGCATTTTTTCATGTGTTTTTTGGCCATTTGAATTTCTTCTTTTGAGAAAGTTCTGTTTAGTTCACTTGCCCATTTCTTTATTGGTTCATTAATTTTGGAAGAATTTAGTTTTCCAAGTTCCCTATATATTCTGGTTATCAGTCCTTTGTCTGATGTGTAGCTGGCAAATATTTTCTCCCACTCTGTGGGTGTTCTCTTCAGTTTAGAGACAATTTCTTTTGTTGAGTAGAAACTTTTTCATTTTATGAAGTCCCATTTATCTATGCTATCTCTTAGTTGCTGTGCTGCTGGGGTTCCCTTGAGAAAGTTCTTACTTATACCTACTAATTCCAGAGTATTTCCTACTATTTCCTGTATCAACTTTAGAGTTTGTGGTCTGATACTAATATCCTTGATCCATTATGGGTTAATATTGGTATAGGGTGATATACATGGATCTAGTTTCAGTTTTTTGCAGACTGCCAACCAGTTTTCCCAGCAGTTTTTGTTGAAGAGGCTGTCTTTTCTCCATCGTATATTCTTAGTGCCTTTGGCAAAGACAAGTTGGGTATAGTTGTGTGGCTTCATATCCGGGTCCGCTATTCTGTTCCACTGGTCTTTGTGTCTGTTTTTGTGCCAGTACCATGCTGTTTTTTATTGTTATTGCTTTGTAATATAGTTTGAAGTCGGGTATCGTGATACCTGCAGCATTGTACTTTTGACTGAGTATTCCCTTGGCTATTAGTGGCCTCTTGTGTTTCCTTATAATTTTAATGGTAGATTTTTCAGTCTTGTTAATGAATGTCATTGGAATTTTGACGGGAATTGCATTAAACATGTAGATTACTTTTGGGAGTATAGACATTTTTACTATATTGATTCTACCAATCCATGAGCATGGGAGAGCTCTCCATTTTTTATAGTCTTCCTCAGTCTCTTTCTTCAGATGTTTATAGTTTTCCTTGTAGAGGTCGTTCACATCCTTTGTTAGGTTTACAACTAGGTATTTGATTTTTTTTGAGGCTATTGTAAATGGAATTGCTTTCATATATTCTTTCTCAGTTTGTTCATTGTTAGTGTATAGAAATCCTAATGATTTGTCTACATTGATTTTATATCCTGCTACCTTGCTATAGCTATTGATGGTGTCTAGGAGCTTTTGAGTAGAGTTTTTTTGGGTCTTTAAGGTATAGGATCATATTGCCTGCAAATAGGGATATTTTGACAGTTTCTTTACCTATTTGTATTCCTTCTTCTTGCCTAATTGCTCTGGCTAGGAATTCCAGTACTATGTTGAATAGGGGTGGAGATAGAAGGCATCCTTGTCTAGCTCCTGATTTTAGAGGGAATGGTTTAAGTTTTTCTCCGTTAAATATAATGCTGGCTGTAGGTTTGTCATATATAGCTTTTATAATGTTGAGGTACTTTCCTTCTTTTCCTAGTTTTCTTAGAGCTTTTATCATGAAATGGTGTTGGATTTTATCAAAGGCTTTTTCTGCATCTATTGAGATGATCAAGCCTACTTGGTTGTGGTGAATAATCTTTTTGATGTGTTGTTGAATTCGGTTTGCCATTATTTTGTTGAGGATTTTTGCATCA